CCTAGTATCTGGGAGAGTAAATGATTCATTCCTGAAGAAGGGAGGGTCGAGTAGGCACACCACAATTTCCATGACAAAAGTAAAATATAGATACATAAAAAGCACATAAACCAAGTGTGTAGCCTATTGAATTATTAATAGATGAATCCCACTGTTATGGACTGAGTTGTGTCCCCCAAAAATATGTATTGTAAATTCTAGCCCCTATGCCTGTGGTTATAATCCCATTTGAGAATAGGTTGTCTGTTATGTGAATGAGGCAGGATTAATGTAAGGTGTATTTTGAGTCAATCTCTTTTGAGATATAAAATAAAGAAGTAGAGCAGAAGTGGGAAAGAGAGATGCCAAACCACATGAAAATGGCCCAGGAGCAGAAGCCCAAAAGAGACAAGGACCTTCCTCCAGAGCCAACAGAGAGAGAAAGACTTCCCCAGAGCCAGTGCCCTGAATTTGGACTTCTAGCCTCCTAAACTGTGATAAAAAAAGATTTCTGTTTGTTAAAGGCACCCATTTGTGGTGTTTTTGTTATAGCAGCACTAGATAACTAAGACAGAGTTTGGTACCGGAAGAGTGAGAATTTGCTGTAACAGATATGTAAAATGTGGAAGTGGTTTTGGAATTTGGTAATGAGTAGAGGCTGAAAGAGTTTTAAGATGCCTAATGGTAAAAGCTAAATTACCTTGAAGACACTTGGTAGAATTATGGATGTCAAAGGCAGTTCTCATGACGGCTCAGAAGGAGGTGAGGAGAGCTATAGGGAGTCTCTATCATTTTAAGGAATACATACGGCACTAGCAACAAAATGTTGCTTGAAATGTGGATGTTGAATGTACTTCTAGCGAGGCTTTAAAAGAAAATGATGAGCTTGTGATTGGACAATGGAGGAAGGGTGATGCTTTCTATGCAGTGGGAAAGAACTTGTCTGAATTATAGTCAAATGTTTGGTAGAAAGTAGAACTTGTAAATGAGGAACTTAAATATCTGGCTGATGAGATTTCTAAGCACAGTTTTAAAGGAGCCATGAGGTTTCTCCTTGCCACTTAGAGAAAAATGCAAGAAGAAAGAGGTGGACTTAAAAATGAACTGTGCAAAATGATAACAACTTAAAGATCTGGAAAATTCTGTTGTACAAACTAAGGACATGTGTCCTAGAATGTTCACCCAGGACGTGGCTACCCAATCTTTTGTTAAAGAGATTAAGCCTGTTACTGATGAATCTAACCAACCACCACAGCAGAAAATATGTCAGCTCAGACTGAAGAGGGCAGAGAAAGAACGATGGAAAAGAACACTGTCTCCTTGGAATTCTACAGGCAGGAAACAGGCCAAAGGAGCTACATCTGTTCTCCTCTAAGAATAGAAAAGGATCATCCCTGAAACAGCTCACAGATCAACAGAATTGTTAGAGGGAGCGTGGGAAGCAGGGCCTTCTCGGTTTCAAAGAGTGGGGCCACAGTCTCCTGGATCTTAAGGGGTGGAGTAACAGTCTCCTAAGTTTCAAAGAGTTGGATCTTCCCTAACTCAGTTCCAGAGTGTTGGGTCACCATTAAGGGGTGCCAGGGGATGGGGCAGCCTTCCAAAGCTGAGGGGCGTGGCTGCCATGCCGAAGGGACAGAAGAACGGGGCCTGCCAGGACCAAGGGGGTGGGGTCGCCACTCAGATGGACTAGGAGAATGGGACCACCCAAAGCTAAGGGAGCAGAGTTGCCGTCCCAGAGGGCCTGGAAGACAGAGCTGATGCCCAGGACAGAGGGGCCACTACCCAGAATCCACAAGGTGTGGCCAACACCCAGAGGCTGGAGGTCAGGACCATTGCCCAGACAGTCCCAAAGAACAGAGGATTATTTTCAAGCCTTGAGAGCTAATATAAATTTTTCTGCTGGGTTTTGGACTTGCTTGGTGCCTGTTATCCCTTCTTTCCCTTCAATTTCTCCCATTTATAATTGAAATGTCTACTTTGTGCTTCTTCCACCACTGTCCTTTGGAAACAGGTAACTTGTATTCTAGATTCCACAGGTTCACAGATGAAGAGGAAATTGCCCCCAGATGAAATACGCCTAAAGTCTCACCCATATTTGATTTAGATGATTCAGAAGATGAGATTGTAGACTTGGAGTTGATTTAAGACTTTTGGAATGATGTGATGGGGTGAATATGCTTTACATGTGGGAAGGACATAAATTTTGGGGGAACAAAGGGTGGAATGTTATGGATTGAATTGTGTCCCCCCAAAATGTGTGTTGTAAATCTTAGCCTCTGTGCCTGTGGTTATAATCCCCTTTGGGAATGGGTTGTCTTTGTTATGTGAATGAGACAGGATTAGTGTAGAATGTATCTTAAGTTGATCTGTTTTGAGATATAAAAGAGATTAAATAAGCAAGCAGAGCAGAGAAGGGGGAAGGTACCTGCCAAGCCACATGAAGACTGCCCAGGAGCAGAAGCTCAGAAGAGACAAAGACCTTCCTCCAGAGCTGACACAGAGAGAAAGGCTTCCCCTGAAGCCGGCATCCTGAATTCAGACTTCTTGCCTCCTAAATTATAAGAAAATAAATTTCTGTTTGTTAAAGGCACCTATTTGCGGTATTTCTGTTATAGCAGCAGTATATAACTAAGATTCCCTCTGTAACCATTACCCAGATGAAGAAATAGAATTTTGACAATTACTCCATAAGTCCCATCATGCACACTGTCCCAATCACAAACTCTTATCTCTTCCCATAAGTAGCCATTTTTAACTTATAGTTATTACTTCTTTGTGTTTTAAAGATAATTTTATCATTAAATGTGAATCACTAAGTACTGTAGCTTAGCTCTTGCCATACTTTAAATTTGATATGTCTTTTTAAGTCTCTTAATTTATTGGTTACTTTGCATCCTTTTCTTTTTCTTATAATTTTTCTGTTGAAGAACCTCATCTCTTTTGTCCTGTAGAATTTCCCAGAGTCTGGACTTGGCTGATTACATACTCAGGGTGCAGTTCAACATGTCCCTTTGTCATATGTATTTCCTGAAAATTGGCAACTGGATTCTGATGCTTGATCAGGCACAGGTTTGATCCCTTCAGCTTGACTATTGGTGTTGGTGTTTTCTTTCATTACCAAACCAAAAAAGCCAAACCCCTTGCTGTTGAGTGGATTCCAACTTATAGTGACCCTATAGGACAGAGTAGAACTGCCCAATAGGGTTTCCAAGAAGTGGCTGGTGGATTCGAACTGCCAACCTTTTGGTTAGCAGTCGAGCTCTTAACCACTGCACCACCAGGGCTCCAAACAGGTACATAATGTCTGGTTTTCTCTCTTTTGTGATGTCCAATTCTGATTACTGTTAAGTTACTGGGGATTGTAAAATGGTGATATTATAATTACATCTTTTTTTATATTTATTAGCTGAAGTGCTTCTGTAAAGGTAAACTTTCATTCATCTATTAGTTACGCAGGGTTACAGTTCATATGGGAAAGGCAGGATAAATGCTTGATTCTTTCTGTGTATAAACAGTTTTTAAGATGAGAAATTGGTTCCCTACCATCCTCTTGAAGTGACCAATTCATTTTTTTAAATAAAATGCTGTACAAATTTACGGATTTAAACATATTTGATGGGTTTTAATCCATTGCAATTATTATTCATATTGAAGCTTAAATTGTCTCATTTTTGGCTAGTGGGAGACTCTTCATGTTGGCCTTTGAGTGCTTTTGACTTGACCCTAGTAGTCTTTGATAGCTTTCTTCCTATCTAGTATGATAAAATATTCCAAGCTCATCTTGTATATTTCTTGTTCCAGACCTTGAATCAGGTATTTCTTCAATGAGCTTTGGTTTCATTGAGTGGAAAATGGTATTTCAAGACCAAAATCATCTGGGCATTAAGGATTCTTGTTGCTATGAAGTAATTTTTAGGTGTTATACACACACGTATATAGTATACGTATATATGTATATATAAATATGTATATATATATAGAGAGAGAGAGTATACGCATGTATGGAGCCCTGGTGGCACAGTGGTTAAGAGCTATGCCTGCTAACCAAAAGGTTGGCAGTTGAAATCCACCAGCCGCTCCTTGGAAACCCTATGGGGCAGTTCTACTCTGTCCTATAGGGTCACTATGAGTTGGAATCAACTAAATGGCAACCGGTTTGTTTGTTTTATTGTTTTTTTGTTTGTTTGTTTGTGTTTGGTATGTATACATTGATATATACATATGAAGATAAAATACTTTGAGTTCATGCTGATACGTCTGATTCAAATTCAACACTACAAGATTTTTACTTACCCTCTTCCATATTATGTTTCTCCATTCTTCCATGGAGTCCTTGGGTGACACAGTTAAGCACTCAGCTACTAACTGAAAGGTTGGCAGTTCAGATTCACCCAGAGGTGCCTCAGAAGAAAGGTCTCGCAATATACTCCCAAAAGGTCACAGCCATTGAAAACCTTATGGGGCACTTCTACTCTGAAACACATGGGGGTTGCCATGAGTTATTATCTACTCAGTGGCAACTGGTTTGATTTTTATTTTGTTTTCTTTCTTACACAGCAAGAATCCTAGTCCTGAAGTACCTAGGGGTTAATAGAATTACCGTATTACATGTTATGCATACAGCTGTCTCAGAATAACTATTCTAATACTACCACTGACAATATGATTGATGAAATATTTTGCGTATGATCTCTCCATTCTCTTCTATTTTTATACTTGTTCTGTATTTTTGTACGTTGTCAGAATATTTAGCCATTACATATTACATTTTCACCCTTTTAACCCCAATTTAATCTCAGTTTTACAAGTTACTACATTTTTATTCCTTACCACCACATCTGAGATGGATGTCTCGTTAGTCAATTTTATTGTATGAAGCTTTTTCTCCAGTAGATCTCCCAGGAAAGGTTCATGAGAACAATATTTCCCAAGTTCATGCATGTGGATAAGACTTTGTGAAGTTTATACCTGAAAGCTAGTTTTTCTAGATATAAAATCTTTGGCTCAGTTTCTTTCCTTGAAAAAATACATGATGAGTCATGAACTTGTGTGTCATCCTTGCACAGGGGCTATGCTACTCTTCTCTGTATCATTCTAATTTTAGTACATATGCTACCGAAATGATAATTTGTAATATATAGAAATTATGAGTTCATACTGAGGCTTCCAATTCAAATTCAGGACTACTGGTTTTAATTTAACCTTTTTTACCTTCCATCTGTATCTCTAGTTTTCCATGACCAGAATGCCATTTGGTGTTCTCTATCGTTCTATTTTATCTCTTTTATTTATTTATTATTTATACCTCTTTGTAAAATGTTTTTAATGTTCTACCTAGACTTTACAATATACATGTTAAATAATCTGAGTACACCTTCAAATAATGTCACACTGCTTCATGTGTACAGTAAAGATTTTAATAGTATATTTTCAATTTCTCCATCTCTTCTCTTGTACCATTATTGTCATACCTTTCACCTTTGCATATACTATAAATATCCAATATATTTGTTAGTATTATTGCTTTAAATAGTCAGATATATTTAGAATAATTGCAAATAAGAAATTGTTTTACTCTCATTTTTTCCTATTTCTAATGCTCTCTCTTCATTTCTTTTTATAGATCCAAATGTCTGACATATCATATTTTTCCTACTTGAAGAACTTTGTTTAAAACTTTTTCTAGGGTAGGTCTACTGGCAATGAATTTATTCAGTTTTTATTGGAAACTGAGAAAGTGTTTATAGCTCCTTCACTTTTGTAGGATTTTTTCTCTTTATATGAAATTCTGCATTGACAGTTTTTTCTTTCAACAACTTAAAGATGCCATTCCATTTTCTTCTTCCTTTCAGGATTTCTGATAATAATTCTGCTATAATCTTTATCCTTGTTCCTCTCTAAGTAATTTTGTTTGGCTGTATTTAAGTTTTTTTTTCTTTGTCTTTAGTAGGTTGAATAGTAGTTTGGGTGGGTTTTTTTTTTTTTTTTTTTTTTTGGCGTTCATCCTGCTTCATGTTCTCTAAGATTTTTGGATCTATGATTTGATGACTGACACTACTTTTATAGCATTCTCAGTCATTATATTTTCAAATATTTCTTTTGTTATATTCTCTCATTTGTCTCCTGGGAATCCAATTACACATATGTTATTCCATTTGATATTGTCCAGCAGCTCTTGGATACTGTGTTCTAGTTTTTACATTCTTTTTTTCCCCATTTATGTGCCAGTTTTTGTAATTTTTATTGACCTATTTTCAAGTTCCCTGATTCTTTTCTTGGCTGTGTTGACCCATCAACAGCTTCCTCTACTTCTGTTACTGTATTTTTACCTCCTTATATTTCCATTTGATTCTTTTTATATATTTAATCTCTCTGCTGGAATTACCTTTCTGATACTGCATGTCACCTACCTTTTTCATTACACTTTTTAACATAGTAATTGTAATTATCTTAAATTCCCTTTGTGATAGTTCCAACATCTGTGTCATATCTGAGTCTGATTCTGATGTTAACTTAGGTTTTTCTTCATTGTGATTTAGGTGAAATTTTACAGAACAAATTAGTTTCTCATTAAACAGTTAATACACAAATTGTTTTGTGACATTGGTTGCCAACCCCGTGATGTGTCAACACTCTCCCCTTCTCAAACCTAGGTTCCCTGATTCCATTTGTCCCATTTTCCTGCCCCTTCCTGCCTTCTTATCTTTGCTTTTGGGCTAGTGTGCCCATTAGTCCCATCTACATGATTGAACTATGAAGCACATCCCTCACTTGTGTTATTGTTGGCCCTATAGAACTATCTAATCTTTGGCTGAAGGGTGAACCTCAGGAGTGACTTCAGTACTGAGTTAAAAGGGTGTCAGAGGGCCATACTCTTGAGGTTTCTCCAGTCTCTGTCAGACCAGCAAGCCTTTTTTTTTTTTCTTTTTTGAATTTGGCTTTTGTTCTACATTTTTCTCCTGCTCTGTTGAAGACCCTCTATTGTGATCCCTGGCAGATCAGTCAGTGATGGTAACCGGGCACCATCTGGTTGTTCTGGGCTCAGTCTGGTGGAGGCTGTGGTAGTTATGGTCCATTACTCTTTGGATGAATCTTTCCCTTGTGGCTTTTGTCTTCATTCACCTTTACTCCAACTGGGATGGGATCAGCAGATAGTCGCTTGAAGGCTTTTAAGACCCTATTCACTACTCACCAGTCGGATGTGGAACATTTTCTTTATAGACTATGTTATGCCAATTGAGCTAGATGTCCCCAAAGACCATGGTCCTCAGCCCTCAGCCCACTAGCTTGGTCTCTCAGGGTGTTTGGATGTGTCTGTGAAGCTTCTATGACTTTACCCTGTTCAAGTTGTGCTAACTTCCTCAGTATTGTGTACTTACCCTTCACCAAAGTTACCACTTATCTATTATCCAGTTAGTGTTTTTCCATCCCCATCCCGCCCTCCCTTGTAACCATCTGTCTGAATGATCTAGTGCTGCTGTAGCAGAGATACCACAAGTGGATGGCTTTAACAAAGAGAAGTTTATTCTCTCACAGTCCAGAGGCTACAACTCCAAATTCAGGGCATCAGCTCCAGGGGAAGGCTTTCTCTGTTGGCTCTGGAGGAAGGTCTGTGTCATCAGTCTTCCCTTGATCTGGGAGCTTCTCTGCGCAGGAACCTCAGGTCCAAAGGACGCGCTCTGCTCCCAGCACTGCTTCTTGATGGTATGAGGTTCCCATGTGTCTCTGCTCACTTCTCTCTTTTATATCTCAAAAGAGATTGGACTAAGACACTATCCAATCTTGTAGACCTCATCAGTATCATGTCATCCTAGTGATAAGAGTTTACAACACATAAGGAAATCACATATAACCTCATCATAGTGATAGAGTTTACAGTACATAAGGAAATCACATCAGATTACACAATCATACAATACTGGGAATCATGACCTAACCAAGTTGACAGATATTTGGGGGGACACAATTCAATCCATGACACCATCAAAGATTGTTTCGTTCTGAGTGGAAACATTTTCATGTGTTTTTATAATTGTGGTCTCATACAGTATTTGTCTTTTTGTGATGGACTTATTTCACTCAGCATAATGCCCTCCCGCTTCATCCATATCGGGAGATGTTTTGCAGATTCATCATTGGTCTTTATCGTTGCATAGTTTCCATTGTGTGTATGTACCATAGTTTGTTTATCCATTCATCTGTTGATGGGCTCTTAGGTTTTTCCATCTTTTTGCTATTGTGAATAATGCTACAGTGATCATGGGTGTGCATATGCCTATTCGTGTGACTGCTCTTATTTCTCTGGGATATATTCCTAGTAGTGGGATTGCTGGATCTATTTCTAGCTTTTTAAGGAAGCACCATTTTGTTTTCCAAAATGGTTGAACCATTTTTAATTTCCACCAGCAGTGCATAAGAAGTCCAGTCTCCCTGGAGCCCCTCCAACATTTGTTATTTTCTGTTTTTTGATTCATGCCGATAATGTCAGGGTGAGATGCTATCTCATTGTAGCTTTGACTTGCATTTCTCTAATGGCTAATGATCGTGAACATTTCCTCATGTGTCTGTTAGCTGCCTGAATGTCTTCTTTTGTGAAGTGTCTGGTCATACCCTTTGTCCATTATTTAATTGGATTATTTGTCATTTTATTGTAGAGATGTTGGATTTTCCTATAGATTTTAGAGATTAGACTTTTGTCGGACATGTCATAGTGAAAACTTTTTCCCAATCTGTAGGTTGTCTTTTTACTCTTTTGGTGAAGTTTTTTCATGAGTGTTTAGGTGTTTAATTTTTAGGAGATCCCATTTATCTAGCTTATCTTCTGGTGTTTGTGTATTGTTAATTATGGTTTGTAGGCTGTTTATCGTGTATATTGGGGCCCCTAGTGTTGACTCTATTTTTTCTTCCATGATATTTATGGTTTCTGGTTTTATATTTAGGTCTTTGGTCCATTTTGAATTCGTTTTTATGTATGGTGTGAGGTATGGGTCATGTTTCCTTTTTTTACAGGTAGACATCGAGTTTTCCCAGCTCCATTTGTTAAAAAGACTATCTTTTCCCCATTTAATAGAATTTTGGCCTTTGTCAAAGATCAGGTGGCCGTAGGTAGATGGATTTACATCTGGGTTCTAGATTCTGTTCCATTGGTCAGTGTGTCTGTCATTGTACCAGTACCAGGCTGTTTTGACTACCGTGGCTGTATAATAGGTTCTGAGGTCAGGTCATGCAAGGCCTCCTACTTTGTTCTTTTTCTTCAGTAATACTTTACTTATCCTAGGCCTCTTTCCTTTCCATATAAAGTTAATGATTAATTTTTCCATCTCTTTAAAGAATTCTGTTGGTATTTGGATCAGGATGGCATTGTATTTGTAGATTGCTTTGGGTAGCATTGGAGCCCTGGTGGCACAGTGTTAAGTGCTATGGCTGTTAACTAAAGCGTCAGCAGTTTGAATCCACCATCCGATCCTTGGAAACATTATAGGGCAGTTCTGCTCTGTCCTGTAGAGTCTCTGTGAGTCAGAATCGACTCAATGGTAATGGATTTGTTTTTTTTTTGTTTTTTTTGTTTTGGTTTGGGTAAAATTGACATTTTCACAATGTTCAATCTATCTATCCATGAGCATGGTATGTTTTTCCATTTATGTAGGTGTCTTTTGATTTCTTGCAGTCGTGTTTTGTAGTTTTCTTTGTATAGGTCTTTTACATCCCTGGTTTGATTTATTCCTAACTATTTTTTAGGGGCTATTATGAATGGTATTGCTTTCCAGATTTCCTTTTCATAGTTCTTTTTATTGGTGTGTAGTAATCCAACTGATTTTTGTATGTTTATCTTGCCTCCTGCTACTCTGTTGAATCTTTCTATTAGTTCCAGTAGTTTTCTCATGGAATCTTTAGGGTTCTCTACGTATAGTATCATATCATCTGCGAATAGGGATAGTTTTACTTCTTCCTTACCAATTTGGATGCTCTTTATTTCTTTTTCTTACCTTACTGCTATAGCTAGGACTTCCAGCACAAAGTTAAATAGGAGTGGTGATAAAGGACATCCTTGTCTTGATCCCGTTCTCAAGGGGAATGTTTTCAGCCTCTCTTCATTGAGGATGATGTTGACTATTGTTTTTATAT